TGAAGAGGCGCTAATTGGGCTCTGGTTCCAAGCCGGATAAAATATTACCGTGTTTATAAGTGTATGCAATTGTCGTAAATTTTGGCAAAACCTCACATACATGTATTTATATAGACAAAAATAAAATATAAGATACAATCTCAATGCTCTGGGGTAGCTACCTCGAATGGTACGTTTTTGATTCTCTCCTATTTAGGTATCTTCGAACCTGCAACTTAAAGCGAAAGAGGACCCAGGGGCATATACTAAAGAGATCTGAGGCTTCGGCGCTCTTGTTTACATGAACTGCGTGAAGAATCCGAAGTTTTCGCAATAATGAGCGGTACGGGAGAACGCGCCAGTAACGAACACGTGCGGGTACCGGCAGAAGGCGCCTATCGATCAACGGGCATACGCTGATGTACGGGCGTCAAAGATCAGAGTAACACGGCGACTGATCCAGCTGGTTGATCATTGATTATCAAAACGAGTAAACTTATGTATAACTTTAAAATGTTTCACTAAATTATACAAGTTTAAGTTTTGCCACTCTATGAAAGATAGATACATCGATGCTGCGAAAATACGTAGAGTTAGCTATCTTCTATAGCCATCTTCGCTGGTGTTTAACCGAACCACACTGATTGTCATTGCGAAGAAACCACTAAGAGGGGTAGGAATATTTTTCCACATTCTGTTGTAACTTTACTCTTACTTGGAAGTAGTTTCGAAGCTTCCTGGCATTGGCAATATTTCATGCGTTAAAGGTCGTTAAACACGAACCATATCCGTCAGACAACCGTAATGTCAACAGCTGTGCTGGTGAGAATTTTCAACTTCGATGCACCTTCCGAGCAGATGGCATAAAGTTTGGCCTCGCATCTGCTTGATTAACGTTTGCTTTCAAAAACGAAACGAGAGTAGAACTGATTCCGATGCGGACAGAACTTCCGGCCACGTCATTAAGGGTAATGTGCCCTGTGACATTTATTCATGCTGAACCGCAAGAGCTAAATATCGTCAGCAAAGGGTAATAAGCAACGTTGGTCGGTTAGGACGGGCAGTCAGGGACGTCAATAGGCTAGTAGATGCTCTGCGCCATGCCAGGCGACGAGCACTCGACACACGACCTACTGCTGTGAAACAACGTTCGACACTGCACTTCAAGAGTGTCGATGGAGTAGGTGCGCCGGTATCACCTTTAGACAGATAGGCATCTGATCCGGGTTATGAACAGCTCATCGATTCATGGACGAAGATTGATGTCAGCTGCATGCCTACACAAAAACCGACGTCGCACTTCTTTACAACGGGCCTATCTGGGCGTTACGAAATGTG